GAGTTAAAGTTTTTCATTTTGTTAATTTATAAAATCGAGATATATTTTTAATTGAATTTCAATGAGCAAAACAAAATCGAAGCAAATAAAAAACGGAAGAAAGAACGCTTCAATAACTTCATTTCTTCTTCGTGTTGACCTCAACGAAAAAACAAAATTGGAGCAAATAAAAAGCAGCGGAAAGAACTCTTCAACAACTTCACTTCTTCTTGCTGACCTTAACGAGAAAACAAAATTGGAGCAAACAAAAAACAGAAGAAAGAACGCTTCAACAACTTCACTTCTTCTTCCTGCTGACCTCAACAAGGTAACGATTGATGCGGATTTACATAAACCTCTTCCCCCTTTACCAATAAGTCAAGAGGAAAACATAAGTCAAGAGGAAAACATAAGTCAAGAGGAAAACATAAGTCAAGAGGAAAACAAAAACCAAGAGGAAAACATAAGTCACGAGGAAAACAAGAAAATGATGCAAGAAGTTTCTCAAGAACAAATTACAGGCATTGATCGTAGGCTAGTTATTTCAGATCAAACCTATCAGAGATTGAAGGAAGGTTATTCCGGAGAATTATCAGATATCAATCAGTTAGTTGAGAAAGCTATCGATGAGATCGAAGAAATGAAAAATAAATTAATTGGGAATACTAAAAAGGAGGGAAAGAAAAGAAGTCATAAGTCTAACCTTATTAATTTACTAAAAAAGTCTTCTAATGATAATCTAGGAGATAATGCACAAGAAATGATAAATAAGTTAAGAAATGAATTAAGAGGTGAAGAAAATAAATTGAAAAGTTTAAATAACGATAAAAATGGCGAAAAAGATCCTAAAAAATTTGCCGATTTACAAAAACAAATTGATGAATTAACGACCAAGCTGAATGATAAGCAAGTAGAACTGGATAAATTACAACTGGATTTTACTCTTTATAAAAAAATAACTGATAATATTCATAACAAACAAGAACAATTAAGTACATTATTAGAATATAATCCAAAAAATGTGACTCTGAAGCGGTGGCTTGAAGCAAAAATGGTTAAGGAAATAACTGACGTTGATATTTTAAAAGAATCATTGGATATTCATTTTGGAGATATTGGAAGTGAAGTTTTAGAGGAAATCGCTAAAGTTAAAACTGAAATTACAAAGTTAGAAATGAAGCAAGAAAATATCCTAGAAGAAAGAGGAGAATCATTATTTGAAGAAATGATAAAAGAAAAAGTTGATAATACAATTAAAAAAATTCGAATAAAACTTGAAAGTATCCTAAAACAGTTGAAAGATATTAATAATTTTGTAGAAAATAATAAATGGCTATCATATTTTCCGGGAAGCAATAGGTTAAAAGGTTATTTAAAAAACACCATTGTCACAATGTATGAATTAATAAAAATCGAAGATGAAGAAGGGATATATTACGATACTGAAGAAATTACTAATAGTAATATACCTAAAAAAAAAGAGAAAAAAATTTGAATTTTCCGTTTCAGCTTTGCCGTTCGGTAATTTAAACTTAATTTATGAATCTAACTCCAATTCACAACCAATATCACCTACATCTACAAGTAACCCAATAACTCAATCCACTACTTCTAAAATACCCGTTCAAGTAGTAAATAATATTAACGTAGCTCATTCTGTTTCTAATGGAAGCCAGGCGCAATCGCTGTCTAAACAGTTTGAAAATTTATATGATGATATTTGCAACAAATTGGATAACGAAGGTAAAAAAATCTTAAAAACTTGGAAGGAAAATAATATGGGAAATTTGGTAGAAATATTAAAAGGAAGAGGAATATCTGAAGAAAATCGTCAACAATTACAAAATATCAATGATAAGTCACGAGTTAACAAAATTAAATAATTGATTTAGGAATCCCAAATATTATAATGAATGTCATAACCAGAGTTTGCTTAACCATCATATAAAAAATTTTAAAGGTTATAATTATTGATTTGCTTAAAATTATATTATAAACTGTAATTCTTACAATAGAAACTTAATTATGATTTTTACTTATATCTTAAAATTCGAAAATATCAACAAATTTAAAATCATCATAATTTAGATTATTAGATCCACTTTCTGCAACTTAGCACTTTACTAAAATGACGTTCTATTTCACGCTCTATGATCTGATCAAGATCAAATAGAGCATTTGACACAAATTCTTTCTTGAGGACATCTGGAAGTTCCATAATTTTCACATTCCAGTTGCTTATCTACGCCACCATACATCTCTTCCAGTCTACTCTTTATCACGTAATCTTTCAAACATGTTTTCGTGAAATTTTCATATCCTTTTTCTTGAGCACAAAAAATTTTTGAACAACATATTTCCATGAATATATGGGTTGATCAGCATGAATAGGATTCAATAAATTCATATCTATACTTATCTTTACATACGCAATTTGTGATATCCATCAAAGACTCAATATAAGATCCCACCTTTTTAATATGTCCTAGAAAAATTTTTATATTATCTTTTGCTTTCTTTATTGGCTATATCATTCCTAAGTTTGTTCAATCTATATTCGAGCTTTTTAGAACAGTACTTCATTATAGCAAAGATAGATCTTTCATATCATTTCTATTAAGTGCCTGTT